TCAGAGAAGAAACTGTTTATTTTCGATATCTATTTCCAATAACTTTAGAAAAACCAAAAAGTATTTTTTTTTTTCCCGGTTGCAAGCTTCCCGTAAAGCTGAAATTTGCTTTGGCCCATATTCAAAAATTTCAATCATAGTTTCTTGCGACGCAGCAATATAGGCTGTAGCTGTCGTCATTTTATGTAAAATGGCAGGACAAATGCAATTATGACTGTTTTTTTTTTTTAGATTTTTGAAATCTTTTTCCAATGTTTTTAGAAAAATCGAAACGTTATTATTTTTTTCGGAGCAGTGAACTTCCCCTAAAAACCCCTTTGTAGGTTGAGCCAATGACGTACTGCTGATGACGTAATTGCCTCTATGTAGTTTCCCGCATTATCTCTTTCATATTTACGTATTCAGAGATCTCTACAATGCCAAAGTGAACGAAAAGAACTTCATCTTGGGTGTTTTTTTTTACCTGGCAGAACACCGTTGAAAACCAGCTTTACTTGAATTGTTCGCAGATCTCAAACCTTTTAGTCATATGGTAGAATTTTGTCCAATAAAAGATTTTAATATTTTTCCAAACCACAATGAATGACTCAGCATGACTAATGCATGCTGTTTTTTTTTGCCCAATCAACGCTGATCTAATATGCACCATCTCGAAATCGTAAAATGTCAAACTCTGTTTCCACAGTCCATTCTCTTATCACACTTCGCAATTTCAAGATCACACGGCGAATGAGAACGACCCAAATTTGAGTTTAGTTCACTCATAATCGCCAAAAATGCAGGAACTCAGCGATGAGTAAAATTTGTCTCATGTTTTCCCAGGTTTTTCCAGGATTTTCCAGGGAAAAATTCCCGAATTTAAGAAAAGTAAAGATTGGATTCACTCAGTCTATTGGTACTACTCCGAGACTGAAAAAAAATTTCGTCAATTTCCTAATTTTCCGGCAGATTTTTTAGGTTTTCCACAGGAAACCATGAGACAAATTTACTCATCGCTGAGTTCCTGCACTTTTGGCGATTATAAGTGAACTAAACTCAAATTTGGGTCGTTCTCATTCGCCGGGCATAAATCTCAAGATTTACGATGTTTATAAATCTGCAAATTTCAGATATCAAGAGCCACATGTGAAAAGGGCATACAAGCTTTTTGTAAACAAACCTTTGTAGGCCCTTCTCTCGACAACCGAGGGTCGTCCACGCAAACCAACAACATCATCGGGAAGGGTAAAGATTCCCCTACCCGATGATGATGATGGTTTGCGTTGGTGTCATATGAGTGGCGAGAAAATGGCATAAGATGGTTTGTTTACAAAAAGCTTGTATGCCCTTTTCACATGTTGTTCTTGATATTACTTGCTTCTCCGCAGCAAACAACAAGTAGCCGTTTCAGCTACGAACATTCAAAAAAACCTTAATATTTTGACTAGTGAAATTTCAAAGTGTAATGCAAAACCGGACGCTACAAGGAATCACCTTAACTTCCACCTGCACTACCGATCCAATCTTTCCCATGAAATCGGCAAAAACAAACACTCCACAATTCCATCGAACACAAGTTTGAGGCTAAGTGGTTTAACGTCAAAATTTTGCACACGCCCGTCCAAATCCCATCGCCAAGATTTGTGGCGACGACGACGACAACGAGAACGGCGTGCTCATGTACACTGATTCATTCCAACACCCGCGAAATTGTATATGGGATTTCTATGCAAATTCTTCCCCATACCCATCCACTCTGCTGCGAGCGATCGTTTGTGATCTTCACGTGTTACACATACAGTACGCAGCCCACACACATGGGCGGTCGTTTGAATTCCGCTCTCTTCTGAAGAGATGACGCTTCAATCGAATAGAGAAAAAAAACGTTCTGCTGTTGTGTGACCACCACCAGGTGGCAGGTACAAGGTTTCCAAGTTGTGATCTTTCTTTTTTTGCGTCAAAACAAGAGCCATTGGAAGAAATCGCGCGTGGGCGCATCGATCGCCACCGTGCGATCGCATTCAAGGAAGTCGGTGATATTTTGCAAAACGCGGCAATATGTTTATGGTCATCATCGCTCATCAGGCGGGTCATTAACGTTACCGACCGCGGTGTGAAGGTTTCCCGCGTGCCCATAGGGACGCTGTCAGCTGGAAATGTCAACCGTATTAACACCCTAATATGGCGTCCAAAACATCAATTTATTAATTGAACTTGGTGCTGCTCATTGGTGTAGAATTTCTGCGCAGTTTCTCTCGCTTGCTTTTCCATTTAGATGACGAGGGAGAGCTAAGGTATCCAAAACCGTGCAAAGGCTCCCACTCGCGCACCGACAAGTGCTGCCGGAGAGTTGATCGATCCTTATTTATCACAAAACTACCGCTCCGATCCGGTAGGTGATAATAAAATCGATTTTATAGTTTCGTTCCGGTTTCGACTTGTTCGCTGTGATGGTTTTGCTCGTAATGATGACATTAACCCTTACGTGAAAATGTATGCACATTTGGGGATTCGTGATCGTTCGTGCGGAATGGAATCTGCAGTATCTTGTACGATCTGTTGTGCAGGCAATTAGCAATGTTGTTAATTGATTGTAAACGACCGTGGTGATAACTGTAACGACAATTGGCAATAATGTGGATTTAAAAATGAAAACCGTTAAGTGCTGATGCGGATAGCCACCGTAGCTGATGGGACAGGAAACGATCAACCTGGGGGGAATTAATCGGTATTAAATGGAATTATCGAGCTGTAAAATATGGAAATGTCGACAGGTACTTAAGTTTGCCAATGACAACTACATTTAGCGACTGACTGAAATCGTTTGGGAAGAACTAAGAAATGATCAAGCACGCAGCCAGTTTCGCTATTTCAAAGCCGTAAGATCGTAACTAACCAATTGTGTTGATCTTAATTAAATAACCGATTGTACGGGTGCAAAGCATGTCTAAAAAGCTGATTCATTCCGAAGTGGAACGTGTAGCTACAGATTTTTCCACATAAATGTATTGGTCTTTCCCAACGAGCACCCACGCCTAAGCTGAGTCGCAGCCGTTAAGGCAGTGAATTACATATTAACGATCCGCAATCAATCTCTATGCCTCAATAAGTCCACAAATGCTCTGATGAAATAGTGGGTAAGCAAAAAATTTGAATTTTAAATTGCGTGCCTCCATATTTTCCCGGCGGCTAGAGGTCAACCGTAGTCTCGCGCTAACCCGCTGCCAGTGGCAACAAGTGTCATTTGTTTTGGCAAAGCGGTCCACAATGGTGGCGCCCACTCGCATCATAGATCATATACGAGGATCGAAATTTGAAACCAGGTTAAGCGCCATTGTTGTGCCAAATTTGAAACCAAACCCGGCTCGATAGTTATGTATTCGAGCACATTTCAAACTAAATCGGACTTCACTGCCTCCATTTTGCCAACCGTGATGAGAAACATTTTTATCTAACTTGTTTTGATCTATATTTGATCCGCCCACTTCCAAAGGAAACCCAAGCGACGCTTAATTGCATATCAATCTCTTAGCTTGCATACCACGGCGATTGACAATCACGGTTGGCATGACAACCCACGGTATAATCTCGATTGAGTGCACCCGAAGGCGATCCGGCATCGCGTGCGCAGGGTTCGGAAATGCGATCGGCTTAACTTCCTGCGCGTCAATCCATTCAGGTTTTGCGGTTTGATCTTATGTCACTTTTGCTTGGCAAAAAATATGGGGTACCATTTGAGAGTGACAGTTTGCGGTGGCTGCGTGCTTTGCAGACAATTACGTTTGCCAGGATGAATGCGAAGAATCCTATCTCCGGTATTCGTTCTCCACTGAAGAAAAGTCTCGAGAAAAGTGGTGCTATTAGTTATAATGGTTTTGCATAAAGTTGTCTCGCCAATCCACCGCCGTTGTCGTCGTTGATTGCGCCAACCCTTCTCGGGTAATAAACATTACGACAGCACTTTTTACGTTCATTGCACTAGAAAAAGTCTTCCCGCCCACACGCTTTGAACCGAAGCTAGGCCGCGATCAACGGCCATGTGGAAAGTGAAAACGTCGCCTTATAGGGTCGACCAGTGGTCGTAAATTTGCTCCCGGCTGACAAGATTATAAATGTGCAACACTCTTCTTCCGTACCACTCCGTTGAACACAGCAGCTGATTATACTGTGGCTATTCCATGAACAAATCAAACCCCTCACGATCGCAGAGCTTTTGTCCAGAATCTCCGATGAGACGCAAAAGTGTTATTTAAATTGCCACTTTGTAACCCCATTGGTGCTTATTCATCTTGCGAGCTCACGCTTTTTATTTGACAGTTCGCGTGAATTCCTGGCCTTCTACGGTAGCGTACGGACCAGCCTCCATGAATCATCCTCATCGTGATGTTCCATCGAACAAAGTCCGACCCGAGATCCGTGATCGTGTAGGACGCCCGGCATTACAGTTTAGTGTAGCAATAAAAATAACAATTTCATACTTCCAGGCTTAATAGCATCTATGCTTGTATACTTTATTGCGTTCTTCTTTTCGCCATGTTTGTCCATACGGTCCTCCGATCTTACGGAACGCGCGTGCAAGTCATGCGTTTCACTGACCTGACTCAATCACGTTGCCCTGTCTTTACATGCCCTGGCATCCCGTGTATGATGTTCTTTCTTGATGGGATTAAACGGGTTTTACTTGGTGCAACTTATCAAGTGCCGGCACTTGCATTTCCGTCAATGAAGTGCACTCTTGGGCGTTGCTTAATGGAATCAACTACCGAAGAGTGAAGCACAACGAATTGTTTACTGACACTAATTAAATAATGGCTGTGTTCAATTGATAAATATTGAATCATATATGGATTACTTTCAGGCTTTTTATTGACCAATCAATACATGAAATGCGCAAGAATGTAGTTTATTGATTGGTAGCGTCGTTTTATTTTTTAGAGTGACATCATGTTTCTCCCAAGTACCCGTATTTTAACGATTACGACTAACATTTTATAACAATTATTTCTTCCTTCGCCGAACAGGAACCAAAAAAATGGAATACAAGACCAGACAGTGGCACGAGAAGTGCTTCTGCTGCTGCGTCTGCAAGACCGCCATCGGTACCAAATCGTTCATCCCCCGTGAACAGGAAATCTACTGTGCCGGTTGCTACGAGGAAAAGTACGCAACCCGTTGCATCAAGTGCAAGAAGGTAATTCGAAAAAAAAGGCAGCAGATCGAGGGAACATTTTGAACAAACGCCTCTCTCTCTTCCACAGATCATCACCAGCGGTGGTGTGACCTACAAGAACGAACCGTGGCATCGTGAGTGCTTCACCTGCACCCACTGTCAGGTGTCCCTGGCCGGGCAGCGCTTCACCAGCCGCGACGAGAAGCCGTACTGTGCCGAGTGCTTCGGGGAACTATTCGCCAAGAGATGCACCGCCTGTATCAAGCCAATCACTGGTAAGTGGTTAATAATTTGGAAACTTCGGGATTCGTGTTATTTGGTGGTGAAGCGTCACTTTTATTTTGTGACGTGTGTTATTTGGTAATGGAACGTCACTCGCAAAATCGGAGCATTTACGATTATAGTTGCTATATTCATAGTCTGGCAGATAGAATCTCGGAAACCAATTCGACAGTGAGCATTCATAAGGGCGTATACGCGATGATCGATTCTCTTCATCGATTTTCTCTTTCGTTAATAACTCGCTAGATTTAACGTTTGTCGGTGCGTTTGCTGTTGCTTTTGATAGCCAATGCAACCTGTTACAACTCTACATTGAATAAATTCTACAAAATTGTTTCGCTTAGCTGTAGCAATGCAAAGAGAAAATCGATGAAGAGAATCGATCATCGCGTATACGCCCTTATGAATGCTCACTGTCGAATTGAGCTGTCAAATAGCGGAACCAATCGAGCAAATCACGACCAACAACAGAAAAGAGCACATCAGCTATTGCGATCAAAATTTTGGAAACCCTTTGCTCGTGACTCAAGGCTCGCCTACGCAAACTAACACCATCTTTGGGTTGGGGATAGTATCCCCTATCTGATGATGCTGGTAATTTTCGTTCGATTAGCGAGGAAAGAATAATCAACGTTTTGTGTATAAAAGTTGAGAGTACCTTTTCAATTGTTTGTCAACAATACATTGAATTGGTTCCGCTTTTTTATAGAGTGGAATTCTATCCGCCAGACTATTAATACAGCGACTATATTTACGATGACTTTAACATGGTCTTCTTCTTCTAGACTTTTTACAATTCTTGCACAGTTATTGTTGTTGTTGTTGTTGTTGGAGTTTCGATTTGTTGGCCCGAGGAGCTGTGCCTCATAAACGCCAGTTATTAATTCAAGCTGAACATTGCATTAGGCCCTAAGTAACATTGATCGATTCTCTTCGTCGACTTTCTCTTTCGTTGAAAGCTTGAGCACATAACTGTTTCTTGTTGTGTTTGTCGTATTAGATGCAAGAAAAAAGCTTCCCGCATAAACGCGAACCATCACATGACCTTACCGATAATGGTTATAAATTGTTTATAATCCCTGCTAAACTTCAACTGAAATGGTTATGGAACTTTACATGAACGTTTGTGTGATAAAGTTTTAACCTTATGTGTTATGGTTTTTTGGAAGCGGACCTTACAAATAATGGGTTGTTAAGAACCATTACCATTCAAAATTCTTGTTTTCTCCATACATTTTCGGAAAGAGAACTATATTAGAACGTTTTTACTTATGGTTTGAGAACATTAATGGTTATGGTTATGGTAGTCAGTAAGGTCCATTAATGGTTTTGTATTATCACTCAACTTTACGTGAAATATATCGTGAATTGGTAATCAGTAATTTACAGGCAACCAATTCGCGATATATTCCACATAAAGTTGATCGATGTTACAAAACCATTCATGGACCTTAGTGGTTACCATAACCATTACCATTAATGTTCTCAAACCATAAGTTAAAAGGTTTTAGTATAGTTTTCTTTCCGAAAATGTATGGAGAAAACAAGAATTTTGAATGGTAATGGTTCTTAACAACCCATTATTTGTAAGGTCCACTTCCAAAAAACTATAATACTTAAGGTTAAAACTTTATCATTAAACGTTAATGTAAAGCTCCATAACCATTTCAGTTGAAGTTTAGCAGGGATTATAAACAATTTATAACCATTATAGGTAAGGTCAATTTATGGTTCGCGCTTATGCGGGTTCTTTTATCAATCTGTGTGCTGAGAATACCTGAGAATATATTTACATGGCCGTGGGAATACGAAAACTTTGGTGGGGTTGTGCAAGGGCGTAGCCCGGTTTCGAGCCAGGGAGAGGTGAAAAAAAAATACTATGGAAAATTTGGCCGAATGCCATTTCACCGAACGCCATTTCCCCGAAAGCCTTTGTGTTGCTGAGTTTAGGGGGGTGCAGTCGATCCCCCTGCTCCCCTCTGGCTACGCCTATGGTGTTGTGTACAAGACACGGCCGCATGGTTGACGTAGACTACGTTAAGCTGTAAAGTGAAATTCTCGTGCACTTTTCAAGATATTGATTTAAAATACAGTAGAAGTAACCTATGATTTCGGTTCGATGTACATATTTTGGATTTCCTACTTAGTAGCACATGGTTAAATTCAGGACCTCATAAAAATGCAAATATACATTCTATTACATTTGGTTCCTAAATTACAATCAGATATGAAGGTAGGGCTTTCTTCAGGTGATTCATTAAAACGTCCAACAATGACCATCATGATGGCTGATATTCCCTATCACTTCAAGATTTCTAGGGCACAAATCTTGGACGGTTGTGATATCACTCATGAAATTGAAACTCCTTGTGTACTGCATTGCAGCAAACGTGAAGTTCCAGTTTCTTTGTTATAAGTTTCGTGAGAGCTGATATTTTTGCTCTTGAAATTTTTATGTGGTAATGATATTGATCAGAAATAAGGTTTCCATAGCGATTCAACTTCAATGCACACACAAAAACGGGGTGCACAATTTTGCACCAATGTTATGCAACATTTCGTAGTTGATCGGGAATATCTCGATTAGCCATAAATCCCTCCAATAAGTTCTCGGTACATTTTTTTTTAAGATTTTGTTTGCGTTTTGTAGACGCACATGCATCATTTGGCATAAGAACACCGGGCGTTTCTGTGGTGGAAATAAAATTGACTTCCATATTTATCACAGATTACAAATTCAACAGTGAGCATACATAAGAGCGTAACCGCGATCATCGATTCCCTCTTTTGTTCATAACTCACTTAGATTAACATTTCTCGGTGCGCTTGCTGTTGATTTTGATAGCCAATACAACCTGTTACAGGTCACAGCACTACATTGAACAAAATTAAGATAATATTCTAGGTGAACATTACATTAGGTCCTAAGTATAACATATATCGATTCTCTTCGTCGACTTTCTATTTCGATAATAACTTGAGTACATAACCGTTTCTTGTTGTGTTTGTCGTATTAGATGCTAGATAAAAGCTTATTTTAGCACACAGCACACAAATCGCTGAAAATACGTGGGAATGTCTTTACATGGCCGAAAGGATACAAGGAGAAAGTCGACGAAGATAATCTGTCAATGTTACTGAGGACCTAATGCAATGTTCAGCTTGAATTGTTTCGCTTAGCTGTAGCAATGTAAAAAGAAAATCGATGAAGAGAATCGATCATTGCAAGTAGGTCCTTTCAACGCTCACTGTCAAATTTCAGTACCTTGCACGGAAAAAAAAAGTTGACGGTACCTCTATTTATGCTAAGAGATAAGCACTGTAAGTCCCTCCTACTTGAAAAATTATGGAATCGAACGATATTATAAACCGTTCTATAGCATAATTTTCCAAGTAGGATGGCCTTTCATAGCTAATCTAAGAGCATAAATAAAGGTACCGTCTAGGGGAAGTATAACTTGATCTGAAGTAATATTTGGTGTAAAAATCGCTCAAATTGGTAGTTATTATAATTTTTAGTATAAATATTAATGATATATGCTGTCAAGCGGAAAGCTTCAAAGTAAAAAAAAAATAACAGTGTAACTTTAAAGCATACACTCAATGACATTTCCCCAAGTGCAAATCTCTCCAAGTTACAGGCTCATTGCGAATCGAGCGTAATACGACCACGGAACCAGACATGGAAAATCATTTGCATTTATTTCGTGCATTCATTTACATTCATTTGCCCCTAACTTTTTCCATTAATAGAATTCCGCAAAATATTGTATCGAGCTTTTGTAGTTTTTGTTATTAGCTACAACTTTTGTAAAAAGCTTAAATCCGTATCTCTTATGCATGACGAACCAAAGCAAACAGAATCCACTACTGTTTTTCAGTGAATGTATTTTACATTCACTGAAAAACATTAACGAATTCTGTCCGCTCTTATTCGTGATTCATAAGATATACAGATTTGAATTTTTTACAAAAGTTGTAGCCAATACCAAAACCTACAAAAGCTCTATATATCATTTTGCAGAATGCTGTAGATAAAAAAAGTTAGAGGCAAATGAATGTAAATGAATGCATGAAATGAATGTAAATGATTTTCCATGCCTGCACGGAACCATCACTCTGGGACTCCGCTTACAGGGGTGGCACAGTCAGTCGATTCCCGTTCCATCGGAGGACAGCACATTGGTACGCAGACGATTAAGAATTCGTGGAAATTAATGACCATTTCCTGGGAACGGAAGTGCGGCCGATTATGTGCACTGAGATCAGCTACCAAATAATGCCGAATTTATTAGAAAAGGAGCGGATTTTGGTGGCGGTAGCCAGCAAGATCATCAAGGAATAACTTGCCTCTCGTGTGAAATCCATTTTTGATTAAACGAATGTCAAATGTACACTTAAAACCGAAAATACCCAAATAAAACAACAGACTAAGTATAAGATTCGCAAATGTCACACATATTAGAATATTTAATATTTCCACCATCGGTATTGATGCTGATACTTGGAGCTGTCCGTCTAATAATTTCAGTGCTTGGTACAGAAATCTGTAATCTGTGCAGGGAAATCCCCACCACAGAAACACCTCGTTTTCTAATGCAAAATAATGGATGCGCGTTCACAAAACGCACGAAATTTCAAGCTAAATTTTCTGATAGCGAGATATTCACGATCAATACCGAAATTTTGCATAAATGTCCAACCCGTTTTGTGTGTGCTTTTTTATAGCATTCTGAAGAAGCCCTACCTGAATATTAAAATAAGAACATTGTTGAGACATAGCACTGATTTTCACTGTTCTCCAATGCTTAGGGAGCTTTCATAAATAACGTAGTAGTAGGGGTGGAGAGGGGTTTCAGAAGTTGTGACCGGCCATGTATTAGGTATATCAAAACACGCTACGAAGGGGAAGGGGGGCAATTGGTCAAAAAAATCTACGTCATTTATGGATTGTCCCTTATTTTACTTCCAAGGCTGTGTCCCAATTGGCGAG